AATCATAGCAGAACCGTTTGGAAATTATCTATAGGAAATAGTACAGCTTATAAAATGTCAGATCAACGTAGGCCGGTAAGGCAGTCACTGATTGGCAAGTCCTTAAGCCAATCACACAAACACATAAAACACACAAACGCTATTTTCAAGTTTTGAACACCAAAAAAGACTTTTCAAATATTTCAGGAGATTCGGTCAGATTAGGAGATTTAGGTTAGTTATAAATATACCAATCCCACAATGCAAAATAACCTTTAGAATAAAAGTGTAATAATAGAAAATAGAATAATAGAAAATAGCTATATTAAACATTCTAACAAATATTGGTCTTTGAGCCCCATCCCACCCCAGTGGCACAGCGGTATGTCTTCGGACTTACGCTAGGAACCGGGTTTCGATACCCATGGTGGGTAGAGCACAAATAGCTATTGTATAGCTTTGTGCTTAATTACAATCAAACGAATCTTATCAACGTTTTGTGAACAATGAAAGTGCATTAAACGATTCTGACACTGTAACTTTAGTGAAGAGGTATTATTATAATTCGGTTTCCTTTTGTTTGTCTGATTATTTTATTGTAATTTCCACTTCAGCTTAAAGAATATAATAGGTCTAATACTAATGTCTTATAATTAATCATAATCATGCTTCGCAAGCTTGTAAAAGGCGTTCGCACCATAACAACTGTTGTTGTAACAAATGGCTTATATATATAGTGTTCCGACTACTACTGTTTTTATTGTATTCATCTGGCTTGAAGAACTCTAGATTGAATGAAACGCCTCATCGACAATTATTATTGCAAACACAGTGTTGTCGAAATATTATTATAATGCTCTCTTCTAATTCTTCAAAATCCCAAAGAACTAGATAAAGAACGTAGTGTGTAAAAATAGGGCAACCATAATTAATTAATTGAGTAAATTGTTTTTTGTTTGTTTTTTATATACATAAAAATATGCAATATGTTCATTCACCTCAGCTATAAAAATGAAACTTGGGTAACAGAATTTTTTAAGCTAACCTTTTTAATTTAAGTATTATGGCTGAAAATAAAGAATGATTGATTGTAGTAAAACAATAAATTGATAAGATTGTCTGACGTTTAACAGCATCTAATCATGATATTTAACAGGAAGCACACATCATTAGTTTAGATCTTCTTTTGCCTAACTACTTTTATATAATAGATTATGTTGCGATTTAGTTTAGCTACCTCAGTCATGTTAAAGTAATTATATATTTTACCCCTTTTTTTCCGTAAGCGATGTTTTTTTTGTTCGCGTCTAAGGAAAGAAGCTTGTAAAAACTTGTTCCTAATTCAATACGTTCGTTATGACTACAAAGAAAATTAAGCAATTACACATTCTCATATAATGCGTATTTTTAAGGCTAACGAAGTATTTGCATGTTTATTACAATCTATGATGTTACCGATGTTCTCTTATGAGCAATAAAATATGTATTTTAAATTTACTTTTTCGTAACTTTTATATTTTCAAAATTTTAATTTTTTTAAAAAACATTAAAGCGAATCATGAAACGATTTCAGTGAACTATAGTCAGTTTTTAAAGTACTCAGACAAGCGATTTACTGAACAAAATTAACCTTTTTTTTTCAATTTTGCTGGAGATGTTGAAAGTAATTTTAAACAAGCAAGTGCTTTGACTTCATTATTTTAAGATTATTAATTCGAAAACGTTTTGGTTTTCTATATAAATGTTAAAGAAAAGGACAGTTTAATTTTTACACAAGCACAAAAACTCATTATTTGTACATGGGCGATTTAAAAGTTAAGATGTTTGAAATTGAGGCGGCAGGATATTGCAACATCCTATTAATTATAGATGTTAACTTGGAAAATGTGATAATGTAATTTCTGAAGAGTTTTCAATGCTGTATGTTGCAGCTGTAATTCCTTAAGAACATCAGATTATTGCATTTGAAGACTAATAGTGTACAAAGTGATCAACTTATTTTTCTACAAGTTCAAAAATCGAGTTATTTCGTAAAATACCAAAGCATAGAAATACAGTAATAATTTGTAAGGAAAACCAAAGTCGCAATTTCATCAAAGACAAAAGTTGTATTGTTAATTAAATATATTTGGATTATATAAATCAATATGATTTATATTTTCATTCAGGTAATCCTTAGATTTTTCCATTTATGTATATCAACATGAAACTATTTGATTAAACGTAGGTTTTTCTGATAGAAGAGACCTTGTGGTTGAATAATCTTAACCTATAGACTCAATCAGAAAACATCAGTTAAAAAATTGGCTTAAAAAAGTTAGATCATTCTATTGGTGACCTTTTGGACAAATTCTGTCAGAATCAGTTATGGCTACAAACGTACAGTTTGTAGCCATAAGTTCAAACATCTAATTATTTAGACATAGAAGAAACAATCCTAAAAGAATAATGTGCACCAGATATAAAGTTACAAAAAAGCCTGTGGCCAAAAGAATTGTCTTTATTGATATCAAAGCTGCAGGGAATATATCTTACATTTTTCTATGACTTATATCACTTTTTACTTTTTCAGCGTGAAATTCTGGAGCCATTTGCTCGTAAAATACACTATTGAATGACTAAACGATCCCTTACCACATGAACTTGTCCAATGAAGCAAAAGAAAGAGGATAAAAAATACTAAAGACGAGGTAGCCATATATACCACTTGTGATGAATAATGGAATCAATCAACTCCCGCCGTGGTCCACCAATTTGGAGATTGACGAGCAAATCTCTCATGAAGTACAACCATCTAAAGATGCGTTATTAAAGTATTTGTGAGAATGTTATTTTGGGGAAATTTTCTTTTATAGTCGAGAATCTCTGAAGTACTCTGGTACAAAAAAATAGTTATTCTAACGTTAAATTTGTTCGTAACATCGTAGAATCGTCATTCTTTCATCTTCACCTAAAATTAATACCCACGTATTAATTATATAATATATGAATTTTGTATACATAAAACTATGCAATATGTTCATTCACCTCAGCTATAAAAATAAAACTTGGGTAACAGAATTTTATATATAATTATATGAAAGTTATATAAATATCATATTAGGATACATCCTTTAATAGAGTGTATTTAGCTGTGCGCGGCCTAGTGGATGGTGTGCCTGTATTGTGAATACAAGAGCTCTTGGTTCGCGTCCCGTTGCTGCGAGAATGCACTCCGCATAATGGAGCCGTGAGTACGATATAATAGTGAAGGTTAAATCCCACTGTTTAGCGATGAATGCTGTTAACTTTCTGTCTTCCCTCAAGTATATCACTTAAAAATTAGGGAGTGCTGTGCCCTTTGTAGCTTTCTGAAAACAATCTAAAATAAACAGAACATACGAGTTATCTTCTATACAACATTTTCAAGACTCAATTATACCTGGTTAACTATAACGAAACTGCCACAAGTTAAACGAATAACTGGATTGTTTTATAACAGTAGTTATGAAGTTTAGTTGGAAATTATGTAATAGCTAACCATGTTATCTCTGACATTTTCAAAATGCACTTATATGTTTGCATTTAAATGTATAATATGATAGGAATCTGTACACTGCTCAAGTTCATTTCCCCAACTAGAAATTATCCGTCCAGAATAATTCACGAGAAAATAATAAATTGAGTTAAAAAGTTCGTTGATTGTTCTGCTTCTTTAATAAAATTCATTGCATACTTGAATTTATTCAAAACAAAAAAACAGTTTTTTTTTACATAAAGCAATCAGGAGAGGTCATAGGCTTTAAAATCTTACATGTAAAACGAAAAGGTTATTTTCGACATTCCTGTGAGTGTCTTGATTGTTTTGTCTTTCATTTAGGATAGTTACTTGAAGTTGTGTATAGAGCTTATTAGAATAATTTATCATGGACTTCTTCTTCCTGTTCTTCTGGTTCTTTGACGGGATTTGGAAATTTTGTATTAGGAAAACTACGTTTTCTATAAAAACTGAAACAAATTCTAGCTGAACAAAGAAAGAGCGTGTTAAAACATATAATAAATTAGCAGCTGAAAAATAAATGTCAACAAATGCCTTTATTTAAAGCCTTGATAAGAAAAATGGGAGAAACAAAACTTGCAAGAATTAAAAAAAGTTTTGAAAAATTAAGTAAGGAAATATTCAGTATTAGAAATAATTAAAAAGCATACTGTATACGTACAAGACTCGCAACAATGAATAACTGCAACTAAATGATCATTTGGTCATTATTACAGAAAATACAAAAAAAAGCAAGTGGATCGTATAACGCACTAGTATTTTGCATTTGCTTCAACCACTGCACCTTATTTTTATGCTACAAGTTATCAGTATATGATTGTAAAATATTGATCCAATTCTACTGTGTTTCAGTAAAATTGTTTAGGTGTCATTTGACCTTCTCAGTTTCCATATGTACCCGAAAAAATATTCGTATCGGGACTTTGTGCAGACCACGCTATTGTTGCGAATGTTCCATTGGCTTCTTTTTCCTTCTAGATATCATTTCACTACATTTGTTGCGTGTGTGGAATCACTTTCTTGCTGAAAGATGAATCGTTGCCCAAGAGGTTATGTTCCGTAGGTAATGGCGTGATAGATAAGAATCTGCTTATACCTGTAAGCAATTGGGGTGCCATTAAATTCGTGTAGATTTCGAACATTATTGGCTGAAATGCAGCTCGCACTTGTATTAACCCCCAGCATGCTTCGCCATAGATGTTGTACGTCGACCATGGTACGATTCTTCTTTCCGCCATCGAACAAACTATAGTTCATTGTTGTCAGCTTGAATTTATATTCATCTGTAAAGAGCACCTTTCTCCAATTTTGCTTGTTCTAGTGGTTGAAGTCTGAGGCCCATTTCAGCCTCTCCTTTAGGTAATTTCGTAAGCGATGATCACTGAGCAGTACCTCATCCACTACTTGTACCTTACTGTTTTAGAAGCAACATCCAAACTTGCATTGTTTCTATAATTATTTCCAGTACTTTAAATTTAAAATTCTATTGTTATGAAGTAATACTTTAACTTTTACATATTTTACGTGTGTAGGTGATTTTTAATTGAGTTTCGATAAATCAGATAATGGATATATATATATATATATATATATATATATAAATTACACTTTTTGCACAGAATGTATCCTACAGTCATTTAAATACATTTCGGTTTATAAATACAACATTACGACGGTTTATTGGTTACAACGCTTTTTAATGTGACACTAATTTGTCCTTTGATAATATTGCTTAACTATTCATTTTCTTCCTACTTAATAAAAATGTTTAAGTCTGCTATGGACCAACAGATGATGAAGTCGAAGTGAAATCTACAATTTCAAAAAATAATTGACCTTAAAAGAAAGGTTTAAGCGAAAACCAATGTGCTTTCTGATTTATGTAGGGAAATGGAGTTATTCATGAAATGAATATTACATTATATTTATATTTGTACTTTACATGAGTGTTCTTGTAAATTTAAAAGTACTATAAATTGAAAGCGATATGCTGTGCATTGTGACAGACATGTTTTCTTACTTTAATATTCTGTCTTTATAGATTTGTTGAAAGAAAGAAAAACAAAACAGCTGTGTAGCTGGTTGGAACATAACATTAGAGCAAGTGAACTTGAAAGATTACCCATCTCCGAAACAAATTTTCTTAATTTGACGTGCCAAAGAAGCTGAAGCAACTTATCAGAATCCCTGTAGACGTAGATTGTTTAACGTTAGAAAACCATGCATGTCGAAGTACAAGTAGCTTTAAATTTCCTCATTTCTTTCCTGTATAATAAATTACCGAGAAGAAGAGTGAATCAATTTGGGGAGGAACTTGAGAAGGCATTAAGGCAAAAGTTTATTGGTCACTGGTATCCCGAAAGACCTATGAAGGGGTCGGGATACCGCTGTTTGAAAACCATTCCTCCTCTAGATCCTGTATTTGGCGCCGCAGCCATGCAGAGCGGTATGAACCTACCTGACATTCAAGAGAATCTTCCTAAGGAGCTCAGCATCTGGATAGATCCAGGCGAAGTTTCGTACCGTCTGGGCGAGAAAGGGTCTGTTAAAGGATTGTACAGCGAAGGTGGAAGCGATAGTTGTCAAGAATCCCAAAAATACGATATCTCACGCACCTTTAATCCTGACGCTCAATGTTTCAATCCAGTAGATCATGTCACAACTCATCTGAATGAGATCTCTCTCTGCGTTCCACCTTCTCCTATTAACTCCGACTCTATCTCTGTTTTCAAATCGAATAATTCAGTGAATGTTTTTCATTCCAACTCCACACCACCAACTATCTTTACTACCGCTACTTTTGCACAAACAAAGTTTGGTTCCACAAAACTTAAAAGTGTGGGTAAAAGATCTCATCGTCTTTCTCCAACCGAGTTCAATAGCTACATAAAACAACGTGCTACGGGACAGCAAACACAGCAGAACTATTTTCCACAACAAAGACAGCAGGTACTTTCTACTTCTAACCCTCTCCCTACAAATACGAAGGTCACTTCGCCTAGGTTTATTTCAGTTACTAGGTCTTCCACAAACCCTTTGCAGCAGTCAAGATCTTTGTCACCTAATACACAACACCATCTAGATACCAATGTATTGGTGTTGGCTTCAACCCAGCAATCACGCTTTCCACTAACTACAACTACCCTTCAAAAACATTTTGTAAGTTCAGAAGTGGCGACCCGGACTGCGAACAATACCTTTGGTGGACCTGGGAATGACCTGGATGCGAATTCCAGCAGCATCACTGGTGTGGTTACAGCATGTTCAAACCCGAACGTTAACACAACAATTCCCCCACAAATTATATCTCAAAATTCAGCCAGTCTACCGGTTCCAAGTAATCAGCTTCCAAGCATTTTTAATAAACTATCTTTTGGAACTATTAGGAATACTTCAACAACCCAGCAGTTTTTCAGCATTCCTGTATTGGGAGAGGCGAATTCAAGAATTAGTAAATTAGATTCAATGTCAACGCTTTGCCCTAATAACTCAAGTCATTACCAACATCTATTAGTTGCCAACTGAAAAAAATAGCCAGTCGATCGAACTGTGATCGATTAAACATTTGTTAATTATCATTGTAAGATAATGTTTGTTGTTTGAACAGTGTTACCATGTTTTGTTTTGTTTTACTCTTAACATATGAGTAAAATAAATTTTTTCTAAAATAATATATTTTTAATTATATGTTACCAAGTCAAAGCTACTATTCGTAAATGTTTACATTTTCTGCTTTATAATTGTTTTAATGTACAGTTGACTTCAGTAACTCACAATTCTGAAATTTTATAACATAAAAAGAAATGGAAACCTCTAATTTAGGAATTCTTGACAAGATATCACTACAAAGATATCATTACCGAAATATCTGTGTTGTATTTTGCTTCGCACAACAAAATTACATGCTCAAGGCTAAACATTTCAAACTCAGCTTATGAAAACCGCAATGTTAAAAATTCAAAAAAGTTTAATTTTATTGACACCTCAGTTATTTTTAATTCAGTAGAAGCTATAGTTGGAAATCTTAAATCAAATAACATTAATATGTTTTTAAAAAATCGGAAAGGTATGATGGTTTCAAATACTGTTTTGAAAAACTGATTATCGAGCGCGCCAGTAAACAGTTTAAACTTCAATGTATGAACTTACGATTAAGTTTACAAATTATTAAGATATTTGTATAAGTATATGAGGTTTACAAATTTTTGAAAATACGTTCCTGTGTGTTTTGCTGTTAATGCTGATAAAAAAAAAGTAAACGTGTCTTGCTTTAACAATGCTTTATTAAAAATATGAGTATTCACATTGTTGAACCACAGAATTGTTCAAAGATACTACTATTAATGAGTACGTTTCGAAACGTCGTTCTCTACACTTGTGTTTTTTCTACAACAGGCAGTTGCCGCCCACTCCAGTGTACTTATCGTATACTCTGCCTAAACAATCTATCAAAGGATACTATTATTCTTTTGACTTGTGTGGCAAAGTTAACCATGAAAAAGGTTTGTTTCAACTAACCTGTGTTCACATTTTGCAATTAATTGTAAATCAGTCGTTTCGCAGATTATTACGTGTGTGGTTTCCATGCTGTTTTCACATCTTAAGAATATTGTGCAAGTTATTCGGTTTACTAGCGTTGAATATCGTGTTTGAACCGTATCTGTTGAAAATTTAATGTTTGTCTTCCGAACATTTTTAATAATTTTATTTAATATTCTAAATACATGTATATCAGTACTATACACTGTACTTTCTTGGCTTTGAAACTATCATAAAACATTCCAAGATCTTATAAAAAAAATATCACTTTTCAATGTTACTAAGTTATACCTAATACAGTAACTTTTAAAACATTTTGGTTTTCAGTACGTGCAACACCTGTTGTTATTATTGTATTTTAGTAGCCCTAAATATATTGTTATATACTGTGTAGCATTCAGAGAAAGAAAAGTTATATTTACTTATTAATTGTATATTAGAGGTCTTTCATCTTTTCTACTACATCATACATGTTTATAGATACTTTCTTTATTTCTGTATTTAATGTTAAAAACTCAACTATTGTATGTTTCTGACTAAAATAGAACGGCTCTATAGTTAGGATGAATAACTAATTCGGAGTGTAAATCCAATGACATTTCACATTCTGACTCTGTAAAGTGGTATACTTCCTATTACTTACTGTTTTAAAGATGAAGCGATATATGGCAGAAAACTGTTAATGAAGAATCAAAACATTTTTCTTTCCATAAATATTCATAAAATTTTATCGGGTTATTTCACAAGTTTGTTATTGAATTTGTAAAGTTGAAAATTATTGTACCTACTAGATTATTTTAGAATTAAAATTGTATCTCCTGTTTCCGAAAAATTAGCTCAAAAACAATATTGGGTGTTTCTCCTGCTATTTGAAAAATACCAAAACATTTATAACTGAAATTATGGCAGCAAATAAAGAGTGGCAAAATTTGTTTCAAAAAGTGGAAGATATCTTAGTCAAAACTTTTAAATACTGCAGCTAAAATGTTTCTTGTTTAATATATATATATGTATGTGTGTGTGTGTGTGTGTGTGTGTGTGTATGTGTGTTTATATATATATCATAAATGTGCATAATTCAAACTTATTTTCTTTTGTCTTCCTTACGACAATATAGATTCAAATATCGAATATTTCTTCTTATATGATGGCAAAATAACAAAAATAGGTGGCTTCCATTATTTATCGTAATTTTTCAATTGGCATGTGATTCATGTAAATCTAATGCTAATAAAACAGCAACAGTAAAACGTTTCTGGTGATAGTGTTTTATGATTAGGTAGATTAGATGTTTAAGATCTTAAACTTATATTATTTCTACAACTTTTAGCAAATGACAAAACCTGATATAATTATCTTATGAGCTATTTAATCATGTAAACCAGAGCATGTTCTGACACTTCCAACACTCTGCCAAGCATCGTCATAATGATGTATGACTCTTCTTTAGGTTACAAAGCAAAAATATTTTGTTACACCACAAAAATGTATCCCTGTACAACAAAAAAGCAATATCATTACGCATTTCACACCATAGAACCAATTCCCTCTATTTTGTAGAGTTTTGCCCTTTCTAGACTACGGTATTTCATAACATAAAGGAAATTCCGTGAGAGAGTAAGGTATTTCACCACTCCTGATATCATACCACAAAAGTAAATTCTCTGTGAAACTACTGAATGTAACATTTAATATAATGTACCACTAAAGTAACTTCCTATGATACCAGAGTATTTCATTTTACTAATATCAGATCATAAAAGTAAATTCCCTGTCAAGAGTATTTCACCGTAAATTACTTCTGACCCTACAATATTTCATCTACAATATATCATACCATAAAGTAAATGCACTGTAGTAATAGACTATTTCACCTTTATTATACCATAAAAGTAAACGCCCTGTAAGATTATCGTATTTCACATTTACTAATATTATATCATAAAAGTAAATTCTTTGCGAGACTAGAGCATTTCACCTTTATTATATCATTCTAAGAAACTAAATTTCCTGTCATACTACGGTATTTCACTTCGACTATTATCGTACCACAAACTAAATTTCCTGTCATACTAGGGTATTTCACTTCGACTATTATCGTACCACAAACTAAATTTCCTGTCATACTAGGGTATTTCACTTCGACTATTATCGTACCACAAACTAAATTTCTTGCAAGACTAGGGTATTTCAACTCTTTTCATATCATACCATAAAAGTGAATTCCCTATGAGGCTGGGTATTTAACCACTACTGGTATCATATCTTCAAGGCAAATTCTCTGAAAGATTAGCGTATTTCGCCTTTACTGCCATCACACCGTAAAAGGAAACACCTTGGAAAATAGTTGTATTTCACCTATATTTATATCATACCATTAAATTCCTATAAGGCTAGATCATTTCACATTTACTGATAACATATCATGAAAGTATATTCCCTGAGAGACTAGCGTATATTCACCTTTAGTGACACCATACAATAAAAATAAAATTTCATGTGAAAATAAGGAATTTGATCTCTACTGACATCGTACCTTACAAGTAAATTTCTTAAGAAACCAGGGTATGTCATTTTTACTGATATTCCGTGATATTAAATTCCCATTTAGAGTACTGTATTTCACCTTTAATATGTCATATCATTAACGAAGGTTCCTGAGAGCCTACACTTTTTCACTTTTGCGGAAATCACATTTTAAAAGTAAATTGTCTGTGAAACTAGGATATCTCACTTTTAAATAAATCATACGATGAAAATTAATTTCATGTGAGACTAAGGTATTTCACGACTAATTATATCGTAACATAAGAGAAAATTCCCTCCCAGACAAGGGTATTTAACCATAAAATTAGTGTATTTCAGTTTTACTGACATCATACTATAAAATCAAAATTCCTTTTGAGATTAGGGTATTTCATGCCATAAAAGTAAATTCTCTATAAGACTAGTGTATTTCACCTTTAGTATATCATACCATTAAATTAAATCCCTATGAAACTGAAGTATTTTACTTTTATTAATATCATATTTTTAACGTAAATTTCCTGTGAGACTAGAGTATTTTACTTTTACTAATGTCGCACCACAAATGAAAATCCACATGATGCTAAGATATATCATATTGAGTATAGTATACTATGTAAGTAAATTTTGTATACGACATGAGCATAAAAGTAAATTCACTGTGAGACTAATGTACTTTCAATTTACTGATATTATACCATAAAAGTGGGCCGGCATGGCCGGTGGTTAGGGCGCTCGACTCGTAATCTAAGGGTCGTGGGTTCGAATCCCTGTCACACCAAACATGCCAACCTCCGCCTTTGCCTGGTCCCAGGACGAGAAAGGAGGAGGGTTGGGCGCGGGGCTAGCAACTCCACCCCGTAAAAACCAACCTACTACAAGTAACTGCAACAACACCTTCCGTTGGCGAGGTGTTGTTGCGGCCCTATGCTCCACTAGGAGTTTACAAGAATAAAAAATATATACCATAAAAGTTAATTCCTTGTGTTAACACAGTATTTCACCTATACTGATATTATTCCATAAAATTAAATTTTGTGTGAAACTAGGTTATTTCATTCCATTTATCATACCGTTAAAGTAAATATCCTGTAAGACTATGGTATTTCACCTTTACTGATATCCTACTACAATAGTAAATTACTTGGAAGATTGGCGTATTTCACCCCTACTGATATCATACCATAAAGCAGAGGTTCTCAAAGTGTGGTCCGTAGCCCACTTGTAGTTTGAGAGGGAGCTCCAGATAGTTAGCTGATGTTCCCATATACAAGTCACTGACGCGCAAAGCCACGACCAAGGCCAAACGAGAGAAGGGTGGGGTAGGATAGGGGTAAGTTTGAGATGCACTGCCATAAAGTATATTCCACGTGAAACTAAGGCATTTCACCAATAATATCTCATTCCATAAAAGTAAATTCTCTGTAAAGCTAACGTATTTCACATTTAACATATCATGTTTTACTGAGATCGTGTCATAAAAGTAAACTCTTTGTGAGACTAGCGTATTTCATTTTTACTGGTATCATATAAATCTAAATTCCCTGTCAAACAGGGGTGTTTCAGTTT